GTAACCCGCCTTTCCCAGACTCGCACACCTTGCATCCTGCCTTTGAGCAGGTTTGGAAATTTCTGCACGCAAATGCCGGCTCTCGCCCACAAGCGCGGAGAGAGGCGCGTCTAATGTGGGTTTGCGCAACCCACCCAGCAACACAGCCGAGAATTCTCGGGAAGACGATGCGCTGCACTTCTTAACCGCACAAGAAGAAAGTGAGTCAAGCGACCAATGGAAGCTGGTAGTGCGGCAATGGATCCGGTCGTCGTGTAGATGTGTGTAGCCAGTGAAGAGTAAATACTGACCAAAAAAAGAGTGCAGGTCGTTGAAGTGGATCAGCCTATAAGAAAACATAGTATTGGCGACGTTCTGTACATATGGTTGGGGTTTTCTGTATATGGTGTAACAACTTTGTGATGAGCAAACCAAGACCGTACTTACACAGGATCATTTCTACAGTACCTCCTTTTCTACTTGACTTTCCTCGTAGACAATCTCAATAACTTTGATGATCGTATTCGACTTCATTCATTGACTCGGGATGTCGGTGGCTGCAGTGCTGGGTTCTCTTTTGAACTTGGTCTCCCCCATTGATGAACGTCCGCTGTCGCTATTCCAAGCCAGCGTGAGTGAGTGGAGTGATATGAGAAGTTATTGATATCTTCTTTTTAAAAACTATTTTTTTTAATTTCTTCCAAAAATATTAATTTAGCAGTATTAAATTATGTATTCACAGCTAAAACAATACCTAACCTGCAAAAAATGTGTCGCGAGCCCTTGTAACGCATACTCACAGAGAAAAAAATTATACATCAGTATATGTAAATCGATGCCGTCTTTTCTCGTTGCGCTTAGCACCAATCTGTGTCTGATGATATTTAGGTATTTTGCAGTGGTATGAAGCGGCGGAAGAAGGCCGTAAGAAAGCAGGGGAAGTGACATTAGTTGCGGTGATGAAGTCTTTAGATCACGTTCAGCCTGGGCTTCGCGAGGTACAGAGGCGTTTATCGGGGATCATAGTGAAGTACGGAGACGCTGAGCCGAAAAAACCCAAGCTTCACATGATGAAAAATCCTGTATTGATACAGGATCCGTTCTACATACTTCCAACGAAGCTTTTGGATGCGTGCCTGAAGATCCTTCCCGTGTCCAATTCGAAGGAAGATGCTATCGCGATTGACGCATCACAAACTAGCCAACCAACGGAGACAAAGAAAGGAAAACCAATTGAAATTGTTGTCATCATGGACGTTGGGAGTTTTTCAAGGAAACAGATAGAAACCTTCAAGCGCGTGGACAATTTGAAACGAACCGTACAGGCAGGCTTGGACATGCATAAGTGGCTACTGGAGGTCGCTGTTCCTTCCCTCCCAGCCCCCTACCACGGAATTGGAACTCGAGTTGCTGAGGATGTGTTAACGTCGTACCCGTTCAAACGGATTCAAGGACTACCATATCTGGCAGACTACACATACGCAATGCTCTACAGCGCGAGCCCACCCACATGGCTTTCGGACGCAGCATTACGTGCCTTGTGCTTGCGGCTCACCGACAATTACCCAACAGTCCGATTTGCTGGTTTTCAATCAGCTGTAGCAAAGCAACGCCGATCTCGAAAGACAGATGCTTCTCCAGTTGAAGATACTATCCGACAGCGACTGCTACAGCAAGTTCAGGAGGACGGAGTGGACACGGTATTGCTCCCGCTGAACTTTGATAACTTCCACTGGTGCTGCGTGGTTGTGAAGGTCAATGCTAAGCGTATCTATTACTACGATCCGCTAAACCACGCTTCCTACAAGAACGCTTGTAACGCAGTGGGCACACATCTCAAGATCTCAGGCCTTCTAGATTACGACGTGATTCCCATGAATAATCCAATCCAGTTTGATGGGTACAGCTGTGGAGTATTTGTCGGCTGGATGTTCATCCGTCAGTGATAACGGGCCACCACCTGGAAATTAACGACGCCATGCTGACCAGACGCCGCTTCGAACTCTT